ATTGGTTTCGAATGGGCTTTCGTATTTGGACAGTGAAAAGCCCAGGGAGATATTGAACGAGTTGGCCCCTCACAAGCCCATAGAGCACCATCTCCACTAAATCTATGCGCCGCAGAGAACCCTAAAACTTTCCAAATCTAATTGTCGTACACTTTCTCTTCGGCTTCTCCGACATCTTCGTTTGATTGTGTTCACTTCAACTTCTCTACAATCTTTCAAGTTTCCCCCACTACTCTAAATCTTTAATTACATTCATTGTCTCTCTTAACTTTCTCTATCAAAACCTCATATTTAAGAAGCTCGATCTCCATGATTTCGACCACGAAAAGCTTTTCTCCCTATTTTTACCTAAAGATTATCCAAGAACATGAAGCCAACCGGTGTGAAGGAGCCACTGACATCAGGCGACGAAGCGACGGCCCCATCTGGACCGGTCAAAATCGTTGGTCAACCCCGTCTTGCTTCCGACCAACTCATCTCAAAGAAACCAGAAGGCCTACTGTCGGATAACTCAAAAACGATCAAACCAAGCCATAAACGCGGCTCCTCTTCCGGTGTCAACATCGCCGGTGGGTGGAACGGATCCGCCTCCGCCGCCGCGAAAGGGAAATCAATCGTCGCCGATGAGGTTGGGAAGGTGCTAACCTTCAAAGATGTTACTTTAGGGCCTAATGATGGCGAGGTCCGGTTCCGGTTGATTCACTTTTGGGAGGCCATGAATCCCATCACAAAGACACTCATCGGCATCGAAATGCTTCTCATCGATGAAGAGGTATTGACCGGCTAATTCTAAGTTAATTCTTCTTCTGCATTAATTTTTAATTTTACGTTCGAAACACATATATATTGTAACCACATGGCATGTTGATTCTTTTCCCAAATTTGTTGTTGGTCTCTGTTAGGTAATTATCGTACCCAAATTCTGGTAAAAGATTTTTCCGACTAATATTTTAGGCTTAACAACTGCGAAGATTGAATTTTTTTGAAATATAATTATGGGTTAAGATTAATTAACGTCTGACGTTCCGTACACATGTTTAATTTAAGAACTGCATAACTGATTTTCGTTTTCCCAATTTGATGTCCTTGCTTGCGTGTTAGTCTTCTAAATTACTATTAGTTGTTAAAGTAATTGTTTTTATTTTATTGTACGGCATGGATTTATTCTGCCAGTGGTTAAAGATCATTCCACCGCGTTACCTAATTTTTTTTTACAACCTTTTCAACAACAGGAAACAGTTATCCAGGGTTTCATCCCACCAGGCAGGTGTGGCACCTATTTGCGTCACCTGAAAGCTGGTTCAACTTATCGACTCACAAGGTTTTTTGGATCACAGAGCAAAAACATGTACAGTGTTGCTGACCCAAGCGTCACCATCAGTTTCTCTTGGAATTCAGTCCTCTCTGAATTCAAAGACAGTTCTGTATGTTTTCCTGAGGATAGATTCCGGGTTCATAGCCTGAAAGAATTTGAAGCTGCCGCAGATAAGCGAGGCGATCTTTATGGTAAGTGCAGATCATTATAATTATTCACACTGTTCGTATATGATTATTGTAAACTTTGAAATCCAAAGCTAGGATACGATTATATTAGACTACAGTTTCAGATATTCAAACCGGTTGTCTGTGTTTATGAGATTTTAACCATTGCGTTTTGCTGTCCTCTCAATGCAGATTACATTGGGCACATCAAACTTGTGAATGGGGAGGTTCCCAATGACAAACTTCTCATTGACGAAGCATGGCTAGCTGCAACTCGCCGTCTTGAGCTTCACGTCCAAACACATGAGTATGTTATTCTCAAAAACCTACATGCAAATAATAAAGATTGAGTTCACCTGAACACTGAATTTTGGTTTCCATTTTTTTTTTTGACACAGCGACCCAGTGGTTAAGCTCAATCTCTGGGCTAAAGCTGCCTGCGAATTCTGTGCCAAGTTCAAAGCATCTGGAGGGACTGCAAGTGTTATCTTGATCACCACTTTGAACCCAAAACGTTTTGGAGGTTTGGCTTCCCTACTTTTATTTGGTTTTCGTACATGTTAGATAGCATTCGAACTAGGACCGTCTATGTATTATAATTCTTTGACACGGAACTAATGCGTTGTTCTGGTACAAAAGTATTTTGCAAAACTCTATACTGCTTATTTGAAAGTGTATTGATAGAAAATAGGTGTATAGTCAAGCAAAAACAAAAGGTTTAAAAAAAAAACATGGGAATTCTCTTTTTTTTTTTAAAAAACCTTAGCAATGTTTCCAATAAGATTGAATTACATAAACATATCACTTTACATCAGTATGACATTGTTTCACTGCTTAAACATGGTTTCTTTCTTCCCATAGGTGTTTTCTCTCTGTCTTCTACTACAGCATCGCGGGTCTTCATAGATCTTGATATCCAAGAAACACGCTCATATCTCAGTTGGTAGGTTATATGAAATTTTGTGTTAAAAAAAAGATGTAGACTCCTTCAAATTCCGTGATATCTTCATTCATATTTGTACAGGTTGGAATCGAACTTCGAAGTTGCCAACAGAGTTAACGCAACAGTGGTGACTAAGCCTGAGCCAGCGACACTGGGTGACATACTCGCCTACATGAAGCAGGCATCCGCAAAGGTATTACACCTCCCACTATCTGAAACATTAAGTACGATAATGTAAGTATCTCATTTAATTTACAATTTTTCCACAGGTTGCTTGGTTTCAGTGTACAGCTACTATTGATGATGTCGTGCATGGTGCTGGGTGGTATTATATAGGATGTCGTGTGTGCCATACCAAGGCCATCAAAGGGGCAACAACTTTGATGTGCAAGAAGTGTGGAAAGAATGAAATTCAGGGTGTGCCACTGTAAGTATTATTGTTTGCTATCACACTTTCTTTGCTTACAATGGCTATTAATACCTCTCCGTTGTAGGTACCACTCGAAACTATCTGTGTATGACCACAAGGATCAAGCTGTCTTTGTACTTCTCGGTGATGCTGGAGAGGAGCTGACTGGGAAAAAGGCTGCAGAGTTGGTTGATAACTACTACGAGGTATTGCAGTTACCTGAACGTTTGCAAGCATTTATAAGTTATTCTCATTTGAATAAAATTGTACTTACAATGTGTAAAACTATATCAGGCCAACGAGATTGAAGAAGAGGATCACATTGTCCCAGTGCCTCAGGCTCTAATTGGCACCATAGGACAAACAAGGAAATTTGTTGTCATGGTGTCCGCCTATAATCTCAGTGGCAAGTCTCAGACTTTGACTGTGACAAAGGTTCTCCATCTTGACACCGAAGATCCCAAAGTCAACATTGGTGATGCAGCTGGGGAGGCAACTGAAAACGGAAGGGAAGATCATGCAGAGGAGCCGGTGAAAAGGGGTGGCGTTGAGATTGAAGGTGAAGGAGCCAAGCGTACAAAGCATGGCTAATGGGAGTTAGTACTGGTTTTGTTTCAGTTTAATGTTTTGCTCTGCTTTCCTTTTAAATGGATTTCCTTTCCAGCATTATGAACCTGGTTTTGTTTCTATTGACTACTTTGCTTTCTTTTCTTTTAAAATGGATTTACATTTGCACCATTATAAAACCCTTTTCAGGAGTACGAGTGTGTTTAAATATTTACTATTAACTTATGCATATTGGTGTCATACTTACGAATCGATGCATGGGCTTTCCCAACTTAGGATTGTTATTTTAAGTGTCTTCTCAGTGTTCCGTGGTGACCTGTATTTTGGTTCAACCTTTAACTGCAAGAATAGTTATCAGAAGTTCGTCTTGAGCTTACAACACGTTTTCTCTTTACGACCAAAACCGTATAAACCTGAGACACAAAAACTCACATCCAACAAAATGAATAGTTATTAGAAATTCGTCTTCAGGCTTATTTCATCAGTCAGCCAGTGTTTTTAAAACCGACCCAACCACTGAAACGGACAACTGCCCGGGCCACCAATTTAACTTAACCCGTGGATGAACCGCGAGTTAATAAATGAATTACATATATTAGGTTATATTAAATTACTTACAAAATTAAATATATATAAACTTAAAAAATTATTTCGTACTTTAAAAAAATAAACTTATTGTTTGGATATGTATATAATTTAAACTCAAAAACATTTACTAAAAATTTAATTTAAGTTAATATATTTTTATTTGACATACAAAATATTAAAATAGTTTATACTATTTTAAAAAATTGTGACAAGTTAAGATTTTGACATCTAACAAAAAATATGTCTAATTTTAATGATTAAATTAAACTTCAAATCTAAAAAAAAATACAATCATTAATATATTACCTATAACTAAATAAGACGGCAATAAATCTGGAAAAACCAAACTTTTATTTGGAAATTTAGAATACTGAAAAACTGAAAAGTAAAAAATTAAAACCATAATTTAAAACATTTTCCAAACAAGAGTAAAATATCTAATGGTTCAACCAACCGCATAACCGGCACATGGTTTTGTGTTTTAGTGGGTTTGTGGGTTTTAGCCGGTTATTAAAACTTGAGTTTTACACTAAATTCAAACCGGATTTATTCTCGGTCACCAGGTTTACCGGTACATCTGCGGATCCGTTTCGGATTTCAAAACATTGAGTCAAACCAAAAAAATCCTTATACTATTCCGAAATATAAAACGCCCCAAAACATAGACTTAGTACTACTGCCTTCATTATCAACAGCAGCAAATTGGTTCGTATATTGCAACTGAAATGCAACGAATGTCCACAGAAAAATATAGCAATTTGATAATTTTATTGACTATAGGATAACGTACGAATAATGATGTGATGCAATAACAACTAAGCTAACTTTGATACGTTTGTAAGTCAAACGCCATTACATCTGGTCAAAAACAACTCCCCCATTAAAGGTCTTTATCAAAGATATGTTACAAGAAATAAACACAAGCTAAGGTTTCATCACCCTAATTGTCTATAAGACCCACCTACCATACAACCAAAATAAAACATCCAGCCACCACTGTCAATCCTAAAAATGAATAACCAACCCTTCCTGCAATACCACTTCTCACACCAAACTAAACCCCCTGCAGTCACGCCCAGAATGACGCTTCAGGTGTACATCCACAGACCCATGACACAACAATCAGCCATTGATTTTCAACTACCAATCGTCACCGACAATGAAGGTAATTTAATTGAAACAGATTACATTGATCTCATGTTAGGTTACCATCAGATAAACCCTGAAGACTCCACAATGCTTATCCATGAGATTTCGGAATACGTCACGGAAGTCCTAATCAGCAGCGTTCTCAACACGAACTTTCATATACAAATAACTCTGACACTCACGGACAACAACCCAGAAGCAACTGGAAGACTTGACATCGACCTCATCATAACTGACCTAGAGGGAACTACTAGACCTCCACATATGGAAGAACGTTACAACACATGCACTGTGTGCTTTGAGAATTTCAACAATGGCAAATACATATGCGCTCTTTCGTGCGGCCATCAATTTCATTTCCAGTGCATTGACGAATGGCTCCGTACAAACATTAGCTGCCCCATATGTAGGGAGACTGATGTTTAGAGCCTCCAGTATCACAATTAAAAAGGAGTTTCAGTTTTATTATTTATTTTCCTGATTTAAATAGCTCTGGCTGAATTCAATAAATAATAATACTAATGTTCTAAACAAAGCCTCCCATCAACCCTTCTTTAAAAGTTTATCATTTACATCTTAAACTGCAATAATACTTCCAATACTATAACTTTCGAATCGAAAATCAAAAGCCAGAAACATAAATAAAATTTACTTTAATTTTTACCACAAATCACAGCTAATGAAGTCTTAAGAAAAAATAAATCTTACAAATTATTAAAAATTAGAAATGAAAAATAAGATTCAAGTTCTATACATGAATTAGTACTACAAAATTTGATTTTAAAGTAAACCAATGTGAGAAATAATTAAGATAATGCGCGAACAAAAAAATTATCATACAGACAACATATACAAACATGGATTATTTTCTAATCACCCAAGAGAATTAATTATATTAATTATATTTAGAACCATTTCAAAAAATGAACCAAACTCGAGAACAAAGATTCTAACCAATCATTAAATCGTATAATATCCAAATACATATATACTCGGAATTATTTTGTTTCCCACCATTTTCGTACTCGAATATATCTGGGATTATTGATGCCAAATACACACACATACAACTAAATAATATATAAGCTAAATGACACCCACACAAAACAATTCATCATTGGATTGTAATTTTAAAAAGGTTACAATCATTAACTAATTACGCTGCATTGAAAATTTAGGTTATACTCATTCAACTATATTATTTAAAATTTAAGTCTTAAACATTTTAGGTATTTTTAAATAAATAAAAAAACACCCAAACAACCCGGGCGTAGCCCGGGAAACGGATCTAGTNCACCCACACAAAACAATTCATCATTGGATTGTAATTTTAAAAAGGTTACAATCATTAACTAATTACGCTGCATTGAAAATTTAGGTTATACTCATTCAACTATATTATTTAAAATTTAAGTCTTAAACATTTTAGGTATTTTTAAATAAATAAAAAAACACCCAAACAACCCGGGCGTAGCCCGGGAAACGGATCTAGTTTATATTAAAAACCCAAAGAATATCATAAGATAACCTTCAATTTCAATCAAAGAGCAAAAAAAGGAAGAACATATATTGTCTTTTTTTTTTCAAGGTCTATGACGATGCTCTATCACTCGCTTTTTCACCTTCGGTAGTCGCTGAAGACACATAGCTCACAGCAAGTGATGTACTCTCATCGGTACAAGGCGGCTGTGCAAGAGGAGGATGAGCAGAAGCAGCAACAGCAACAGCTTGGAAGTGTCTCTTGCAATTATGACAAGTAATTTGCATCATCGTTGCACTAATCCTCCTACTTGCTTCTTCTCTATAAAGCTGAGCTTTATGAAGCTCAGCTTTTGCATGTTGCCTTATTCTCTTGGCTTCAGCAAACTCAAATTCCGCAATCTCTATCTGCCTTTTCGCTTCTCTTCTGGCTTCCTCTTTTTGTCCCAATAGCAAGCTCGTCTCTCCCTTCTCGTAGCTTGACGTTGTCGGCTCCATCCCTATCGACAAACTGAGGCTTGTCTCATCAGCACTAGCCCGCGATGGAAGTAGCTGAAGCTCGATGCTACTACCAGTAGTAGCGCATGACCCAAAGAAAGGATGGAGCAAATCGGATGTTTGTTGTTCGAACGGTGGAGCTTGTCTTAACAAAGGATGTCCTGGCAATACAGGACCAACGGAGAGGTCAACGTTTTTGGCGGCTGAAGCAGTTTGTGTAGCGTTTGCGGCTTGTTGTTGTATGCGGTGGCCTGAGTGTTGTGATCGACGCATGGTGCAATTGTCTTGGTGCTCAATGAAACTCTCCACTCTGAATCAAGAAGAGTGTATATTTATATAGTTAACTAAAAATAGAAAGCACAAAGTAATATTTGTATCAAACAAACAAATAAAATATAATTTAACTATGTTAGTGGAGTTAGGTATCTTTTGGATTATATACTTAAACAATTTATCTACTTAACAATTATATATCTCATGAGCATGAGATGCAAGACTTTGAGTTTTAGTATGGTATTATATACTTAAACAATATATCTACTTAACAAAGTGCTAAAATGAAATCTGTGATGGGGTCAACGTAAGTTCAAATATATAATCAAAACATAATCCTTAAATATAAAATTAATTAAAATATTTCAGACAACAATCCAACAATCCAACAAACCTCAGCTTCCATTAGTAAGCTTGTTTCAAGATCTCTGTGCATTATCTATAATCAAAACATGCATGTACACGCCAAACTAGAAAAAACATTCTTTGATTTACTTTAAGGATTCAGATATCTATATATATATATTTGTATTTAAAAAAACTATATTGATAAAACTAAATAAATATTAGTATTGCCACTAGCTAGGGTTTCATGAAAACGGAACCTGGAGAAAACGCGACCGCAATCGCAGGAATGGCCGCGAGTGCCACATGTTTTGAGATGAGCTTTGTAATCAGATTGAACAGCGTAGCCTTTTGAGCATCTCTCACAGATCCATTGCTTGTGGTTACTGTGTTTCCTTCGAAAGTGTTTCTTGATTCCCACGAGATCACCGAGGGCGTGACAAGGGTTGTGGTGGAGACATGTCGGCTCTGGACAAACGTAGACTCTCTTCTTCACTTCCTCGGTGGTCTCTCTCTTTAAAAGCTTCCATGGAACTTTATGCCTTCTCCTGTGCATCTGTAGATTCTGGTCTCTCTGAAACCCTTGATTACAGATCTCACACACGTACCGATCTGATTCTAGTAGTGTTCTTGGAGATAAAGATACCACCTCAGCCTCCGGATCTGCCCCCCGTCAGAAAAGTATGATTAAAAAAAACCATTTAGAGAAATAAAAACTTGAACCAAATTGTGACCAAAGTCAAATTTTCAACAGATAAAATGATTACTTTCAAGAATTTACTGATGCAAAAAAAATTGGAAACTAAGTACCAAAAATAAAATACAAATAGAACAAAATTTCTATTTATACCTGGTGTCCCAGCAGGTCGTCTTTTCCTCTTTTGGGTCACGGCGGCTCCATTACCGTCGGGAAGAAGATCGGAGGAAGATGAAGGAGGAGGATTCCGATGATGGTTTATGTTCTTGCTTCTCTCGTAGTCTATCATTGGATGAGGTTTTCTTTTTTGTTTTTTATCTGAAGATAGTGTTAAGTGTATACAGGAAGGGTACTGTGACTAACAAATAATAAGAACAATATTGAGGAATCTTTTGTTTTTCATGCAGGAGAAAGAAGGAGAGATTGTTTTTTGTTTTGTTTCTTTGTTTATTTGGTGGAGAGAGTATTGTGTTTTACATCTTTACTAATAGAGGAAGAAAAGTAAGATGAGTTAAGAGAGAGAAACAAAGGGCTTTGGTTTTGGTTTTCTGAAATCATCTTTTTATCACATAAAGGGAAAAGCTTTTCTAAACCCTTTACTCTCCATCTTTTTAATAATTTTCTGATGAAAACAAAAAAAAAAATAGAAAGAAAAGATGAAAACTTTCAACTTTTTGTTAATTGTTTCATTGACCTCTCACCTTAGATGGAGAAATGCATTGTATGGTCGTTGGTGCTTTAATCTTCTTCAGAGTAGTTATGAACCTCTCTTTCTCTCTCTCCTCTCTTTTTTCTATCAGTACACTGTTTATCTACAAACACCAAAAACATATATGCAGAGAAATGTTGTAATACATGATATAAAGAGAGTGGGACAAGGAGTTTGGAGCCCACATTAGCATCTGGACAAGAAACAAAAAAACATCCCCTTCCACAACAAAACAATTACAAGTCATTATTATTTCATATCATACAATATTCGATCAGACTGCGTTACATTTTTTTCTCTTTTTTCAAGATATATAATAAAAGGATGGATAAAAATTCAAATGGGAATCTTGGATATTTGATGTTCGAGTACATGTTTTTTAATGGTGACAAATGTATGTGTAGCCTTTAGGGTTGGTTTATATATAAAAGAGGGACATGGTGAGAATATTTGTTTGGAAAATAATACACATGCAGATACCCAAATCATGTTTCCGTATATATACAAATATACAATGTGGTGCCATCATCTCAAATATTTATATGCCCTTTTACATAAGTTATAGTATATTTTAATTTGATAAAAAATAATATATTTTTAATTAAAAATGAATATTGTCAATAAGTGAGACTCGAATGATCATTAGCATTGCTGCAGAATTTTTCTTACAGAGAAACTGTTGTGTAAAAAACACTTATGTTGTTACAAGCATAAACCTTGAGTCAGATCTGGATTACGGTGTCAGCTCACAAAGGAAAATTTTAGATCTGGAATATGTTCGGAGGAATTTTTCTTTATAAAAAACATAGATGTAAACTAATTATAAAGTATAAGTGCCTGTGTGTTAGGTATAAAATAATATACATATTAAAGTCCACCATCTCATTAAAGGGCATTTGTCTAACCTAGTGGAACTGTAAAAAAAATTGAAGTAAATACAAAACTTTTTAAAAAGTCATTTAAAAATAAAAAGAAGAACAAAAAGAGGATGATACTTTAATAAGAAGAGAAAGGAGAAGGTTGAGTTGGAAAGAATGGGTGGGAGGATGGGGAAAATGGATTCTCATCACATGCAATGCTTTTTTGTAAGTTGGATATATCAATCCTTCACACAGCCACATTATTGCTTGAAATACATATTAATTATAAAATACTCACCTCTTTCCTATATTCAAATAATGTATCACTAAATAACTAGAAAAGTTGGATTATTTATCGCACATAGCTTTCTAAATAATATAGATTATTATATTTTACGCATATATAAAATAACACACTGTTTTATTTGATATCATCCTATTTGTTTAAATTATGCGAAAATGCACCATTTATTTTAACTTTTTGTCACCCCATACTTTTACAACTATAAAAGTTTCTCATATGATCATCTACCAAATTCACCCTCAGTTATCTAACTATACTACTACTTTATTTGACTGCAATTAGTCTCTCACTCCCGTTGTTACTACTTTTGTTGACTTGTACCGTTTTGTCACCTTGAACTAACACCGGTCTTTAGATTTACCATCATGCATCTATATTTTGTTTTATTTGTTAAATGAGTAATAATACTATACTCCACAAAACTGTTACAAAACAGTATATATATATTCATAAAGGAAAAAAGTTTCTCAGCTACACGAAGTTTACACTAATATGGTGGAAACCATCCAATGTATAAAAATGTATCAAAAACTACACGAAATACATGTTAATACATGTCACATGTATGAAGTAAATGATATTATGGTGGCAACATCACAATCGGATTTAATTGTTCTTAAGCTAAGTTAATGGGGTCAGTCCGTAATTTATGAAATTTAATAAATTAATTAATTTTAATTATTAAAGTTAATAAAATAATAAACTTAATAAACATAATATTTTTTAAAACTTAATAAAATTAATAAACTTAATAAACTTAATTTTTTTTGTTAAACTTAATAAATTTATTAAACTTAATAAAATTATTAAACTTCATAAACTTAATAAACTTAACAAACTTTATAAACTTAATAAGTTATTAAACTTAATATACTTAACAAACTTAATAAACTTAATGATTTATTAAGTTTAATACATCTTATTAAGTTTAATAAATCTTATTAAGTTTATAAAATTTCTTAAGTTTTTAAAAATTATTATGTTTAATAAGCTAGAATCCTAAAACTAATAAACAAAATAATTTAATAAATTTATTAAGTTTAATAAATTAATAAATTAATTTAATTATTATGTTTATTAAGTTTGCTAAGTATATTAAGTTTAATAACTTATTAAGTTATTAAGTTATTAAGTTTGTTAAGTTTATTAAGTTTATGAAGTTTAATAATTTATTAAGTTTAATAATTTTTTTAAGTTTTTTTAAAAAGTATTATGTTTATTAATTTTATCAAATTTTTAAAAAATATTATGTTTATTAATTTTATCAATTTTTTAAAAAAATATTATGTTTATTAAGTTTATTATTTTATTAACTTTAATAATTAAAATTAATTAATTTTGTTAAGTTTCATAAATTATGAATTGATCCCATTAACTTAATTTAAGAGTAATTAAACTCGATTGTGATGTTGTCACCATAATATCATTTACTTCGTACATGTGGCATGTATTAACATATAATTCGTGTAGTTCTTGACACATTTTTATACATTGGATGGTTTCCACCATATTAGTGTAAACTTCGTGTAGCTAGGAAACTTTTTTCCATTCATAAAACCCGAACCCCGTTAGGGAGCTGTGCATTGAAACCTGAGGCATTTGTATCTCGTTCGCTCTTGTTGCCATTTGAAAGTTGCTACTCGAAAAGTTCTTTTTTTTTATAAAGCGCAACTTGAAAAGTTAATTGACATTATTTAGATTTTACTGAAACCCGAAACGAGCAATGACTGTACGTCGCTTTTTACTACAAAATATACCTAAATGTAACTGTAAGACTGTAGTGTGTGTTCATGTTAAGCGTGGCTATACTGGTGCTAAAATTAACGAACAAAATAATGTCATTAACTGATGTACATTGAGTATTTAACCCATGCACCGAAAATATTTGACAGTCTAAAGTATAAAATTTAATATGCCTAAGTTTACCAACAAATTAATAGTAAGCAAATGATAGTTTGTCAAATCAATGTGTACCTCTAATGCAAAAGATGTCATAAATCGTATTAGAAGACTTGATATGAACAAAGTTTCGGTATTCCACGAGATTGAGTGATTGATATGATAATATAGAAAAGCAAGATTTAGGGGGTAAGATTAGATGCGAGATTCGTTTTAGAAAAAGAGAAGTACGAATAAAGGAGAGGAGTACAAGAAAACAAACAAAAAGAGTATTAATTAATTAGGTTTAAGTTAACTAAGGAGGAGAGAATAGTGATGACAACATGGGAGTTGGACCTTTGGCTTTTTGCTTTCCAAGCAGTAATGATGAAGAAGTGTAAACTTCTATTGACAACGCACATAAACTAATTAAAATAATATAGTTACAATCTTTTTGAATGATAATTTATAGAGAAGAAAGTGACTTTGTCTCTATGTCATAATCTTCATAGAAAGAATTGCCAAATCTTGGCCACATGGACGGTGTAAGCCTTTACCCTACGCGCTACTTTTATCTATTGCCTTTGCATTTTCGTGCATTATTACATCTCTTATATGTAGCTTTTGTATAATTGTCATCATTATGGATTTGTACATTTGCTCATAAAATAGACTGAGCCTATTAATGCTCACGGATCTATACATACACGAATATGAACCCTACTTTTATTTTTCCTTTTTCGATAAATTAGAATGCTTTGTGATGTTAAGTTGCAACTGGTTACGACAATCAATTGGTGCCGAACGGGTCACTAGTTAAGTGGCTCGGCCAGGGACGACAACATTTGTCTGCATTTAAATTTGGAATTGACTGAATATGATCAAAGAATTAAATACTCCAAATGCTATTTTAAGTAAAGAACATTTAACTATCGATTCATAAGTCTTAGGATATCTTTTAAAACATCGTAAATTTACATTGTATGATTGCAGAAGTCTTTGTACGTAAATGGCTAAATGTTGTATAAATCATTTCGTGGTATTTTTAATATTATTAAAAGCCAAAACATATATCCAAGAAAGACTTGATGAAACCGAAAATGGTTTCATTAATTAATACCCTCTCAGCTGTTTGTTTTAATTATCTTTTAGAATATTTTTTAAATTAGATGACGTTTGTAATTTTTAAGATAAAATCTATTAATAGTTTATGTTATGATTCTGTATTATGCAGTTTTAATTATTGGCTGAATGTAGTTATGTACGTATATAGTGATGTTTTTGTTAAAAATTAAATATATATATATATATATATATATATATATATATATATATATATATATATATATATATATATATATATATTTAAAAACAAATTGCGGTAAAAATTTTTTTGCGTGCATTAATCTAAATAGTTAACTGGTTAAAAATAGAGAATAGTAATATTTTTGGCGTATGTCAGAAAAGTATTAGTTATAAATAAAAATTCTTAATTTGAGAGTGACTAGAAGTCCATTATTCTGTTTGTGTGTGAATAAAAAATTGTTTTGCTGTTAATATGTTGTTTTCTGTCGACATGCTATTAATATAGTTTATGCGTCCAATCTGCTAGGATGTCTATATATTATAATACGGTTTAAGTTATTGTATGGGCAAAATTTCACGGTCTTCGAATTTTAAAATAATAATTAAGAAAACATGAGCAAACAAGATTGTGAGATTTAGATGCAATCACGTTTAACTTGAATGGAGAAAAAAAACTGTTGTACACATGTAGGTAGTAAAACCTTTCTCAAAACAATAAAAAAACATGTTCGATAGTCTCTAATTACTAAAGTACAATTTTGTTGATGTTTGATAATATAAGCCTGGAAGTTGAGATACAGTGTTTTAATTTTAAATTAAGCATTTGATAAGTTATTAATTAATCACTAATAGGAATATGGCTTCAATGCTTTTTTGTCACCATATTTTTTAAAAAAAATGTTAATACTTTTTGTTTTGCTTAATAATATATTTGATCGGGGGATGTATATATATTATGAGAAAGTACTAGTCTCTAAAAGGTTCGAAACTTATGGTACATCCTTAAAGTCTTTGCTTTGGCCATACCGTTTTATGATTGATAGCGATTTCCCATCGGCCTTATTGCTTTTCCTTACAAACATTTCATATCAAACGAAATCAACACAGTGATATACATATAGAGGAACATCATTAAGCGTTCCTTAATCAAAACAAAAACAAAAATTAAATATGCTTTTCAAGTGGCTATACTAAAATAATTTAAAAGTCTATTTTAACAAACTTCATTTCATTTTCGTTCAACACTAGGGTACTATGCGGGTTTCAGTTTGAAGGACGTAGAAACAATACAAGTACAAGGCGATGCAATTGAATAAGACCTTGAGAAGGATGGTGTAAATACAGTTACGATGGACTGGTTCACATCATGATGGCCCGAGAGTTTCTGGACTAGGATGGATTTTTATTTGTAACACCAATGTATTGTATCCATATACCCTTTTCCACTGAGCACCAAAAAGCCTGGCGCCTGTATTGCCCTAAGGAAAATGAGCCAATGTGCCTTTAGGAAAATTCCTGAGAAACTTTCTTCCAATGAACCACAAGATGGTGGTATATTGGTAGACGAGTTTTGGGATTTGCTAAGCAACCCGGGTACGAAGGCACCCACTACATCTTATATTGTGGTCACGCGGATATGGGCCTATCTTACGGCCCATTTGAATATCCGGAGTGAAGGTCCATCCGTGAGCTGCACCACCCCTTTGGAGATTAGTCTGGACCTCTCCATGGGCCTGGGATAACCCAAGGTTAAAAAAAAAAAAACTTTCTTTCGATGGTTTCAAATTCTTAAACACTATAGATCTGAAGTTTCATTGGCCAAATCATGGAACCGAATAAGTTTGTCAAGATCAAATGAAAAAAGTCCACTCTTTATCCATATTTTGTATTCTAAATCAGTTTTTATTTGTGTTTAATGAACTCGGAATCAAACTCGGTATGTATCTCAAAATGTACCACTTCTTTTTTTGAATTTTTACTCAAGATACTGGTAAAAATTGTGTATATGTACAGAACCAGAACCATGTGAAAAAGAAAAGAAAAAGACAAAACAAGTTCAATCTCATCAATCCAGATTGTTTGACGTTGTGTCTTCATTAGAACGTAATCAAATCTGGCATCATGTACTCGATATAAGCTGGTTCCTGGTACGATACTATAAGAGGCAGAGGATGCTTTTGATATTCTTTAATCACCTTTTCATGGAAACAACACTCATCATCTTCAAAAACCTCCCATTTCTCTGTAACGATCGTCTCCAATCTCGGCTTCTCCAAAACCACAATAGCTTTCTCTTTCTCTTCCTCTACTACTACTACTTCATCTTCTTCTTGAACGTTCTCAATCATTTTCTTGATTTCTTCTACTTCCGCCTTTGGTATACTAACAAACTGAGGCGTATCCCTCGCGTTCGCTACTCCAAAGCCTTTGCAAAGCTTGAAGAACATAGCTAAATCTTCTCCCTGAGACGTCGCCTTGTTGACGATCTTCAGGGTCGCAGCGGCGTCAGTTTTACCAGAATTCGGAAGAATTCTGATGACGCCGCTGCATATTCTACCATAGATATTGATACTCTCGACGACTATACAATCCATCGCTTCTAAAATCAACGTTTTCTTCATGTTGTCAGCAATGGGACGGATCTGAAGAATCAAATCGAGAAGAGACTGCAGTTTCCGAATCCTTTCGAGCTCCGAAAATCTCCGATTACTCGCGGGGCGGCGATGATTGAACTGATCGGATAAGAAAGAAGAATAGCTATGAAGGAAAGCGTAGTAAGCGCGGACGAAGAGGTTGAACCCCCAGGTCTTGCTGAGGCAAGAATGTCCGTCGGAGAACTCCGAAAGGTCGAAAGGTAGCCTTCGGAGTTCTCCGAGGACGGGAGGGAGTTTGCAGGAGAGGACACCGTGGAGAAGCATCAGTGATTTGAGGGAGACGATCCAGCTGCGGGTGTGGTTGACGCGGGAGGAGAGGGTGTGGATTAGGGTTTTGAGGTTGAGATGAGGGGAAGATCGGATCCATTTGTAGACGAGGTGAGCGTTGGAGTAGTCGACGGAGGAGGAGTCGTGGGAGGTGGCTTTGATGATGGCTGCTTCGAGGTCTAAGTTGTGGTGTGATGTTCGCCGTGAGAATCCGACTGCTAATAAGCTTTTACGGTCTTTTATTGCGGCGGCTGCTCGTTTCCACAGCTTCATCGTCGAGCCGCCTCCTCCCTCCTCCTGTCTATCTCTCTCTCTTTGCTTCTCTGTTTCTTGCGTCTTCCTCAAGATCAAAAAAATAATCTCTGTAAATCTCATTTCTCTATTTTGAGTTATTCATCTGTAAACCATCCGTTACACCGCTGTAACCGCGCATTTTTCAAAAATAAATTTTCTTGATAAACAAGGTAAAATAGCTGGCACGTGTGACATTTTTTTTAATTCGTGCATCTCTTTAAACTGAACCAGAGTCGTATAAAATGTCCTGATTTGGGTTTGTTTAGTGGAAATTCATGTTTAATAAGTCATTTACTCCCTCTTCGAATTCATGACATAATTCTCTTGGAAACACATTATATTCACCCAATTAGTAATCAACAAAAGGTACAAATCTCGATTGCAAAGAAAATTATTCTAAACCATACATTCATCTAACTGGTCTGTAACATGAGGAACAGTTGCATTAGTTAGTTCGTCCTACTAAAGCTAGAGAGGTGAAGGTTTTCTTTCTTTTTTTCTGTAGCTCTGAGACTAGTTGGTTTAGCAGAATCTAATGAGTATCAAACCTAACCGAATCATAGCTGGATTTTACTTGAGGTTGTATAATTCAAAACAAATAAAAAACCTAAGAACCAAAAATTCGAATCAAAACTGGATTGGACAACCTTTTTGTTTTTTTTTGGTTTCTTTGCAATAAATAGACAATGTATACCTGGCTACAGAAAATTAGCCATAAGTGTAGAAGATAAATATTCCTGCAACCCAGCTTGGGACATGTCTCTATGTATCCGGCTACAAAGCAATTGATCATTCAAGAAGAGAGATGACAAGAGCAACACTCATGCCAAGCATCAAAGATATCAAATGCAACACACTGTTTTTAAGTGTCGATTTTCCAGAGTTGTTCATCTCCGCAAGAACACCTGCAACTGCTATGTATATGAATCCTCCCGCTGTGAATCCCTACAAGATTTCAATCACCCACCAAATATTATGTAAACATTTAGATATTACATTATTAGATCGAACCAATGGGAAATGTTATTTACTACCTCAATCAACGAAGATTGTCCCGGTTCATTTCCCCATACCAAAACCTGTGGCCAATACAATAAACCATCACAAGGTTAGTACAGTTTCGATATTTCTAGAAAGGTTTCAGATGTAAAAGACTTGCCAATGAAGTTCCTGCAAGTGCAACGAGTGCAGAGAGGAAGTTGAAGAATAGTGCTTTTGATACAGTGAAGCCTGACCTCACTAGAATCCCAAAATCACCTATCTGCAAAGTATTATCCCATTGATATTTTTCAAATAAAGGGTTACTTTTTGCTATACACATCTTCAAATTTTTGTTAAGGAAATAGATAGTTACCTCTTGGGGAAGCTCGTGCGCAAGTAAGAACATGGTTCTGGACCATCCACCAACTGATCCGTAGATGAGAAACGCACTTCCTAACGCCATTCCATCAGTAAAGTTGTGCTGCACAGTAAAAACGGGGGCAATATAGTATCTTCTCAGATGAAACATCTCTTCTCTAATATCTTATCATACAAAAGGAAGCACGTACTTACAACACCATCAGAGAACAAGTTGAGGTAACCGAATACTAGGCTTGAGTTCTTCTCCACCTGTTCAGGTTCGTCCATTTTTCCATCGGAAATAACTTCTGCGCCTGAGTTTGATTTATTAACAGCGTCGCTAGCAGAATTCTTTCTCTGCAATGAACAAATAAGTCATTATATGGGGCTTAAACATATAGATTAAATAACTAAGTAACCATATACAGACACCAATCCTTCTTCGGGGTAAAGTAGAAGCTCAAAGAATAAACGGCTGCATATAACAGTAGAAAAAAAAAGACTATAGTTCAAATTGATGCCAGCTTAAGTATGATAAACCTCTCATTCAAGCCAGAGGCTGATTGAACAGATATTTTCTACATAATGAATATGAATGTGTTCCATGTTTTCGTTATTTGCTGATGGAAATATTGACATGGAAGTGCTGATTCTAACCTTACGGAGAGATTTATCTTTAGAGATTTTCTCTGATGAATTTTCAGTTGCATCAGAGGGGCATTGTTTGTCCGTGTTGTTATGATCGTCCTCATTCTTCAGTTTCTTACTGCCTGCATGGTGGTGGTGATGGTGGCCCCACGTATTGGATCCAGACGAGTTTTCTTCAACATACCGCACCAACTTCTCCACAAGAAGGAAGACCACAATCCCAGCTAGACAAATAAGAATGATGTTTGAGTTGAAGTTCATTAATCTGTCAAACTATTTTGTTTGATAAACACAAAAGCAAGTGTTTTACTACTTACCAAGAACGGACAATCCAACAGACAGGTCTTGTATAGAATGTGAATGTGAAGGCGAATCCGAATGAGAGTGAGAATGATCATGATCATGATGGCCATGGCTCTCATAATCATGAGAGTGACCACCACCTGCGACACAGTAGTTTTTATAGTTAAGAAAATATATTTTGGTACCGAACTGAAATTTACACTCCTAAAACAACAAGGATAGAAGAAACAGAGCGAATTTAACACACCGGAAATGAGAAGGCTTAGAACTAACTAGTAAAACAATGCAACACAATAAAGAGATTAGATAACTGTGTCCATTAACGTACCGAAAGCATGGGGTAATTGGTGAAGAAAAGCATCCCCCAACATAGCTCCTGCCTGGTAAACCAAATAAACAGAATTAATCGAAAGGACTCGAAGTGGCAGCAGAGCACATATACACAAATGCCATACAAATAGACGAAAAGATGTGCATAGAGATTGCTACATCAGAGCAAATGCAAAAAAAAAAAAGACTTACCCCAAAGAGAGCCAATGCATCAACAAACCATTTAGCAGGCTTCCCTTGAACTGTAGATCGAAACATAAACTGATTGAAATAAAAGACTTGCACATGAACACACAAAGAGATAACCTTTTTTTCAAAAGAGTCAACGCCAAGACAGTCACTTACCGAACATAACAGGGAGCAAAATCAGACAAATGAGTGACGCCAAGCTAACCAAAAGAGAGCATCCCAACGCATTAACCCACAACGCTGCAAGCCAAAAAAAAAAAAAAAAACTCTAATCATCCCAAAATTCATCTACTAATTCTCTAAAATTCAATAAACCAATTACCAAATCCAGAAAGATTAGAACTTGACTCATGATCATCATGAACATGATGAACACAAGGCCCAAACCCACACAACCTCATATCCTCCTCCTCAGCCAACTCCTCCGGCAACTTCATCTTCACCGCCTCCTCATGATGATCATGATCATGCGAATGACTACACCCACCTCCGTGATGATGCACGTGATCCTCACGCGCCGGGGTTGAGTGAGAGAGTCCGGTTTTTACGCACAGATCCAGAACCAGAAACAGAACCACGAGCCTTATCGGTGAGAACGACATCTGATCTAAATGCTAGGGAGGGGGGAGACTAAGAAGAGTTGCGGTTGTTGCAGCAAGTGCCTTCGATGGTGATGAAGCAGACGAGGCAGAAGATGAGAATTATGATTCCGACTATTACTCCGAATGTGAGCACATCCATTTTTTTTTTTGTAATTTATTAACCTTGAGTATTTTGTTTTTTGTAATTTTGACCCTCTCTTTCTAAATCGAGGACAAAGCCCCAATCCTCATTTCTGAGATTGTTCGGAAACGGGTTTTGGATTTTCAATACCATATTCATTAATTTCATTCAGATATTTTGTTAATTTCTTGGTCAGGTTCGATTCAGTTCTTGCATATCCGGATTAGACTTTACCAAATATTTCAAAATCACCAAATGTATTGTTTAGTTTTGATGGTTATAACAAAAAAATATTATTTTGCCTTTTGCCACAAATGTGATTTTGCGGTTTGGAGAAAAATGAGATTTTGGTGAGAAAATGTTTTGTAAGGTTTTAATTTGGTAGAAATTTTATTTTTATGTTTTCTAGTAAAAACGTCTTTTTATGCATTTTTGTAGAAAATCATTTATGTTTCATGAAAATTTTTAATCATCTTTAGTTTTTTTTTGGTAATAGGTCATATATACACTATTTATTTTATAGTTATCTTTCTGAAGAATTCATTTTTATTTTTTTTTGTTTTATATAAAAATATATTTTGATGTGACAAATAAAAGTAAAATATATTCTTGTTATTTATTAAACTGAAACTTTATATTGAACAAACAATTTCTTTGAATGACAAGAAAGAGCACACGTCAGCCACAATACGGCTCGTGGAGAGAGGACAAAACGGAACGGGATGCTCCATGACGGATTAAACTAACGGTGTGTCAGTGTCTGCGTTGATTAGCCACGTCGTATAAGACCGGCCACAATCACGCCTTCTTTCATAACATATATGCGAAAAATCGATTTAAAAATCACGAGGCTGACTCAGCTCATTAAGAAACTCCGATACTATAAAATGATCAATGCCTTCTCTCCACTCATCAACTCATTTACTTCTTCCCTTCTTCTACTTCACTTTCCTTGTTTTCTTGACTGTTGCGGAAAATGGTTACCGTCGAAAACACTAAGCTTGCGGATGCTCCGGTTCTGTTCTTCGTTTACTTCCACAAGGCTTTCCGTAACCAACTAACGGAGCTACGTCGTTTCGCTACTGACGCCGCAGCAGCCGGTTCCTTTAGCGGGAAACAAGCCAGGGAGCTACGCCAGAAATTTGAGTTTTTGAAGCTTGTGTACAAGTATCACAGCGCAGCTGAAGATGAGGTTAGCTTCGTCTTTTTCAGATGATCCCACTGTTAATTAGTAGTAGTCATCATTTCATACAATCTTGATAATGGTTTAAGATTGGTGCTAACGAGTTTCTTCAATAAAAGACAGTTATACTGGAGTTTGAAATGATTATATTTTTACTGGCAGGTTATCTTTTTGGCACTCGATGCACGTGTGAAAAACATTGTTTTTAGTTATTCATTTGAGCACGCTGGCACGGATGATCTCTTCACCTCAGTTTTCCACTGGCTACATGTTCTTGAAGAGGAATTAGGGAGCGTAAGCGATGTACTTCGTGAAGTTATTCTATGCATAGGCACCATTCAATCATCCATATGCCAACATATGCTTAAAGAAGAGCGGCAGGTCTATTATATCGTCCGGTTAAAGACATTTCACTACAGATATATGCTATGTTAATTTCCTCTGTTCATAACACTCCATGATATTCTGTTATACAGGTCTTTCCTTTGTTAATTGAGAAGTTCTCGTTCCGAGAACAGGCATCACTTGTGTGGCAATTCATTTGTAGTGTTCCAGTGATGGTGCTCAAAGATTTTTTGCCATGGATGATGTCTTATCTCTCTCACAAGGAGAAAACTGAAGTTGTGAACTGCATGAAAGATGTTGTTCCAAATGAAGACTTATTACAACAGGTATGTATATCTTTTTTTATATTTCCAATATTTATAAATATGATGATATCATTTTTTAATTATAAAAGGTGGTAAGCTCTTGGCTGATCAACAACATTCAATCTACTTGTGGGACTTCTACAAAGAACATAGAATGGGTCCATTATGAAGATGTGTCTAAAAATAAGAACTCACCTCAGACACATGATTCTAGAGGATGTTTTCAATGGTTTTGGCGGTGGAGTAAAAAGGCAATTTCTATTACAAATGTAGGTCACAGCCCGATTCATGGTCTTCAGCTTTATCAAAATGCAATTGAAAAAGATTTGAGAGACATTCAAGAAGGATTATGCCAAGGGAAATCTTCAAGCCTTCTTTTGGACCTTGATTTAGTCATGGCTCGGTTAAACTTCCTTGTTGATGTTCTTGTTTCTTACTGGTAAGTAAGATAAACTTAATTTTTCTCAAGGTTCCTAGTCTCTTAATACTCCTCATGTCTCTGAGCTAGTTACACATTATCTTGTTTTCTTGCAGCAAAGCATTTAAGAAGTTTTTTCACCCAGTGTTAGAAGAAATAGCCGATGGACGCTGTTCAAATGCAAATCAATTCACCATAGATGTCTGTCTCGAAAATTTCCACAGATTTCTATACAAAAGGGATGATGTTAAAATGAGGACGGAAGGTTTTCTACTAAAGATTCAGGAGGAACTTGAGTCCCTTATAGTCGAAGCAACAAAGCTATTTTCCGTACAGAGAACAGAGGTACAACATTTTCATACTCTTTTCTAGTTGGAGTTTTAGTTGAAACTATAACTTGTTTTAATGAAACTGTTTCTCTTTAATCACCAGGTATTCACAATCATCAACAAGAATTGCAACCATGAAATGCAAAGGCAGCTCCTATACACAAGCATACATGCCTTACCTCTTGGATTGCTAAAGTGTCTCATACCATGGTTCTCTACTCATCTGTCAGAAAAAGAATCTCAGTCCATTCTTCATTTCTTAACTCTGAAAAATTCTTCTTCCAAAAAATCATTTCCACGCCTCTTGTTGCAGTGGCTACCCTTTCGCTACTCAGACAAAACCTCTTCTCAAAGTTTTTGGAAACAGCTGTTCGCAATGTTATGCTTCTCTAAAAGAAACAAGTCTTCAACCTTCTTCATGTTTCCGGCTGCTGGAGACATGTACAAGACACCTTACTCTAGTCGAATGCTTTTCTCTGAAAACCTTAGATCTCCTCCTCTCCATATGGATGATCCATTTACTATGGATAGAAAACCGATTGATCTCCTTTTCTTCTTTCACAAGGCAATGAAGACGGATCTTGACTACCTTGTAAGTGGATCAGTAAGACTAGCATCCGACTCTAGCTTCCTCAGGGAGTTTCAACAACGGTTCCATCTGATAAAGTTATTTTATCAGATACACGCTACTGCAGAAGATGAGATTGCGTTTCCAGCGCTGGAGGCCAAGGGAAAACTACAAAATATAACTCACTCATTTAGTATTGATCATGAGCTAGACATCAAACACTTTGATAAGGTGTCATTCATTTTGAATGAGATGTCAGAGCTGAACACCTCTGAGCGGTTATGTCTGAGTCTTCAAGAGTGTTGCAGATCCATGCACAAGATATTGTTGGAGCATTTCCAACAAGAAGAAACTGAGCTTTGGGGTCTGTTCAGGGACTGCTTTGCTATTGAAGAACAAGAGAAGATCATAGGATGCATGCTTGGGAGAATAAGCGGTGAGATACTTCAGGATATGATTCCATGGTTGATGGATTCTTTGACATCTGATGAACAACATGCTGCAATGTCCTTGTGGGTCCAAACAACAAGGAATACAATGTTTGTCGATTGGCTAAAAGAATGGTACAATGGTCATATTATCCAAGATGATGCAGGAGAAGCAAACACCAATCACAAGTAGTCAAGATCACTTATTATTATTAATTTTTTTTTTATGTCAAGACTAATATTATGTCATGTAATTTTTCAGCCCTCAGATGATTTCACATAATCAAGAACCACTCTCAAGAAGTATAGAAACAATTCCTGGTCAGCATCCATCTTATCGAGATATTGACAGTTTGGTCTTTGGCTGCAAGCACTACAAGAGGAACGCCAAGCTTCTTGCTCCTTGTTGTGACCAGCTCTTTACGTGTATACACTGCCATGATGAAGAGGCTGATCACTTGGTGGATAGGTAATATAACATCTACTACTTTAATACGGAGAGCTTCAAGAAAATATTGTTTTGGCTCCTCAACCGTCTTTGGTTCTCTTGACTTCTTATGCAGGAAACAAATTGAAAAGATGATGTGCATGAAATGCCTCCTGATTCAGCCAATTGGTGCAAATTGCTCAAATACTTTGTGCAAGTCATCAATGGGAAAGTACTTCTGTGAGATATGCAAATTATTTGATGATGAAAGGTATCTATTCCCCTGGTCCAAAAAGTTATATTTGTGCTTCAAGTATTTTTTATAGTAAATTACATATTTAAAGAAGTTTTATGTAGATTCAACTGGGAAATGTTGAATCTGAAGATTAACAATCCAAATGTTTTTAACAGGTCAATTTATCATTGTCCCTACTGTAATCTCTGTCGGGTAGGGGAAGGACTAGGCATTGACTACTTCCATTGCATGACATGCAATGCTTGTTTGTCACGTTCATTAAAAGACCATGTGTGCCGAGAAAATTGGCTAGAAGTTGATTGTCCGATTTGCCACGAGTACATGTTCACCTCCAGAAACGTGGTGAAGCCTCTTCCATGCGGTCACTTGATGCATTCAGCATGCTTTCAGGTACTTAACTCAGTTAATGTTTTGTGGTAATAATGAAAACCTGAAATAATGTTGCTAAATTGTTTTGTTCTTTGATTCTGATGATAGGAGTACACTCGTTCGCATTACACATGCCCTGTCTGCAGCAAGTCGCTTGGAGATATGCAGGTGTCAGTTACACATTTTCCTCATTCAAGAACTTAGCAATTGCATCAAAACCATACACTCTCTAACCACATATAGTTTCTGAATCTGAACTGTTTGTAGACTGTTTCACGCAGGGCTACTTTAAGATGTTAGACGAATTGCTTGCCGAAGAAAAGATGCCTGATGAATACACCAACAAGACTCAGGTTATACATCTCTCTCCATATTGTGTACATAGGACAAAACCTCCGTCTCTCTAGTCTAGATACCAAAAAAAAAAAAAATTAACTGAATGCAATTTTTGATTTGGTACAGGTGATATTGTGTAATGACTGTGGGAAAGAAGGAGATTCTCCTTATCATCGGCTATACCACAAATGCACTTCTTGTGGTTCATACAACTCAAAGCTACTCTAGATTTTCCTCCAATTTTCATTTTCCTTTCACATTATTGCAGAACAAGAAATCAATGTAGAAGAATATGGCTGGTAAGAAATTTGATGTTGTACCAAAATAAAACATACAGACAGACCCAGATTTAGTTTTTTTTTCAATGTATGTCTATTCATTGAGAATTGAGAGGTTCAGACACATGCCAAATCTAAATTTCAATACCAACTAGTCAAATAGTTGACTACCTAAAAAAAGTCAATAATTCTAATCAACCAAACACAATTTAAACACACATTAATGACTCATCACCGATTCACCAAATCATTACATTTTTTGTAAGAGAAAACAAAAGTATACACCTCTTTCGCTATTTTGACCTCTCTCAGCTTTCACTACCAGAAAAATACAAAACCCTAGATTTTATCTTCAATCTTCAATCTTCAGACCATGTCTTCTTCACCTCAATCACCAACCATGTCCGATTCCACCTCCTCACCGCTCCTCCGCTCCCGTCAATCTCCCCGTCGCCGTCAACCCGTTCTCGCAGTCCTACTAGGCCGAGCCTCTGGTCATCGAGGAGCTTCGATGGTTGTGAGAGAGACAGCCGCACAAGAGCTCGAGGAGCGAAGAGCCGATTGGGGCTACTCGAAGCCTGTCGTGGCGCTCGACATGCTTTGGAACACGGCCTTCGTGGTTGTCGCGGTGGTGATGCTCTTGGTTTACAAGGAGGAGAAGCCGAACGTGCCGATTAGGGTTTGGATATGTGGGTACGCGGTTCAGTGTTTAGTTCATGTGGTGCTTGTGTGGTTGGAGTTTAGGAAGAGGAATGGGAGTAGGGGAGGTGGTGGTGGGGATTTGGAAGCTGGGGAAGGTTCTGTGGGGAGTAGAGTTGGTGGTGATAGTGATGATGAAGATGGTGATGATAGGATCCTCAGGTTAGTTGATAAAAGACGTTTTCTTTGGGTGGTTCTTGGTTTCTTGAAGTTTGTTTTCAGCTTTACTTTGTGGTTTCAGGGTTTTGTGTTAGTAGTTGCTATCAATATCTCTCTTTATCATGACAGCCAAAAGTTAGGACTTTATGAGAATATACAGACCGGACAATGCATTTTGTCTTTGTCCTGTGTTATGAATTTATGAAGAGTGCTTTTAGCTTGTGTAAGAATGAAAAAGATTAGTTTTTTTATTACCAAAGTTATTATTTTCCTTGTCATGGTTGGAACTTGGAAACCTAGAAAGGTGTAATTCTAAATATGTGTGATCATGGAAGGTTATTATGCAGCTGTCTTCAATTTCTTGTTTGTGTTTCTTTGTTTTTTGGGAAATAATTATTTACTTAATGATTCTCACAATGGAAATTTTTTCAGCACTAAGACTTGTGAATCGTTGAACACCATTATATCATTTGTGTGGTGGATTGCTGGCTTCTACTGGCTTGTATCTGGTGGTGAAATCCTTCTCGAAAACGCACCGCATCTGTACTGGTATGGGTGATATTATCAGCTCAATGTTTCTTATGAATGAATGAGAGTGGATATGACAATGTAAAATTGAATGCTTTGCAGGTTGACTTTTGTTTTCTTGTCATTTGATGTGTTCTTCGCCGTCTTTTGCGTTGTGGTGGCATGTCTTATCGGAGTCGCTCTCTGTTGCTGCCTCCCTTGTATCATTGCTCTTCTTTACGCCGTTGCCGGGCAGGTATGGTCTACATGAGCAAGCACCACTCAACTACAAAAACTGACTTAACTTTGGTAGAAATAAGAATGAATACTATGTGTTCAGGACGGTGCAACAGAAGCAGATATCAGTATCCTTCCCAAGTACAAATTTCAGATGATGAGCAATGGCGAAAAGCAAACAGATGGTGGAGGGAAAATGATCCCCATCGAAGCAGGCAATGAGTATTCGGGTAACGAACGTGTACTTGAAGCTGAAGATGCTGTAAGTTGTTCTTTCGAAAGTTAATCGAAGCTAAAATTTCGGAGAATTTTTCCTATTAATGATGGGTGGGTTTTGTGTAGGACTGTTGTATATGTCTGAGTTCATATGAAGATGGAACAGAGCTGGTGACACTTCCTTGCAACCACCACTTTCACTCGGCGTGCATCGAGAAATGGCTGAAAATGAATGCCACATGTCCACTCTGCAAGTTCAATATTCTCAAAGGTAATGAACAAGAATGAAAGTAGAAGAAGAAGAGGATTCATCCCCCTTAAGTTTGCTTTGGCACTTGTTTTTCTTGATGTTGTATATAGAGAGTAGAGTAACGCAAAGTGATTGTTATTTTGTAAGCCTTAAGATATATAAATTGTGACTTTGTTGTCATTCCTGTTTATCATATATCAAATAAAGAGTTATGTACGAATATTTTCAGAAATAACAAAACTAGGCCCTGCTGATTTAACCAGAAATTTGGCTTTTGGTTTTGTTCGGTTAGTCAGGTTGATCCGATCATGCAACATTTCGAATTTAGTTTAGTAAACCGGTTTAGTTAGACCAAGCCACCTTAGCAGCACCTGAGGTGTAAAAGCAAACATACATTATTGAATATCCCTTGAAAAGAGAAAAAACAAAGAGATGGACACACTAGGCAATAGACATGGAACACGTTCCCTCCTTTCACGCGCAAAAAATCTGTTTGACTAATCACAGCTTTTCTCACTAATCACATCAGTCATCACTAAACAACCAGAAGACAATTAACACTCCACCAATATGTACATATCAAACCCAAAATTTACTATAATAAACCAAGAAAACAGATCAATTGATAGTATCTATATTCGTTACGTTAGATCATTAATTAACCTGATAATGTAATACATTAATTCTTACTCAAGTGCATTCATCAACTGATTAATAATCTACTCATTCTCTCTCTCTTTCTTGTTTATAATCACAAAAGAAAAATCTCTGAAACTTATTCTCTCTCCTCACCGTGTGACTCTGATTTGAAAACTAACACACACACACACACACTCTCTCTCTAGAAATCTGCATTATTAAGCTCTCTCTATACATTGCATTTTGGATCCTGAGGATTTTTGAATGTGTTTGTGAGTGAAAATAATAGAGGAATCACTAGAGATCGGAGATGACGGATGTAACAACCGACGGAGGTTTCTCGGCTGAGACGCCTTATCCGTCTTACAAGGAGACGAGCAGCGGCGGAGGAGGGAAAACCTCGTCTCGGAGGAGGCCAGTTAGGCCTAGCTTCGACGCGGCAACCGACAATGAGTTCATCACTCAGCTCCACGGCTCGGATCCAGTGAAGGTCGAGCTTAATCGCCTTGAGAACGAAGTTAGAGGTTCGAAAATAGATAGGTTGCTCGATCTAGTTACTACTATATATGTCGATTCAGATCTCTAATCGTACTTTAACAGATAAGGATCGGGAGTTAGGAGAAGCACACGCGGAGATCAAAGCGTTGAGATTATCTGAGAGGCAAAGAGAGAAAGCTGTTGAAGAGGTGTGTATGTGTGTGTGTGTTATCTAAATAATAAAAGCTCTCAAAGTTCGTTTGCTTATTGTTAAAGCTGACGTCACTTTATTTTCTTTGGATTATTATAGCTTACAGATGAGCTTACTAAGTTGGAGGAGAAGCTCAAGTTAACTGAATCCCTTCTTCAAGGCAAAGTAATAATAAATCACTCTTGTTTTCTACTTTTTTTTTTGATTTTGCTGGTTATTCTCATTATGTTTAACTATGTTGCAGAATCTTGAAATTAAGAAGATTAATGAGGAGAAGAAAGCATCCATGGCTGCTCAGTTTGCTGCTGAAGCTACCTTAAGGAGAGTCCATGCTGCTCAGAAAGATGATGACATGCCTCCTATTGAAGCTATTCTTGCACCTTTGGAAGCTGAACTTAAGCTTGCACGCTCTGAGGTATTTTTTAAAGGTTGCATTATTGTTACTGTTTACTTGCATTATCGGACTTACGATGGTTTCTGCATAGATTGGGAAACTTCAGGAGGATAATAGAGCTTTGGATCGTCTCACTAAATCTAAAGAAGCGGCTTTACTTGAGGCTGAGAGGACTATTCAAAGTGCCATGGCGAAAGCTGCATTGGTTGATGATCTTCAAAATAAGAACCAAGAGTTGATGAAGCAAATAGAGATCTGTCAGGTGCTCTTTACTCATTATCATCATCTTCTTTTTGTAACGTTTTGGATGCTTTTACAAACCACACGTTGCTAACAGTGGATCCTTTTATCTATTTGATGGTTTAGGAAGAAAACAAGATTCTAGACAAAATGCATAGGCAAAAGGTTGCTGAGGTGGAAAAGCTTACTCAGACTGTACGAGAGCTGGAAGAGGCTGTTCTTGCTGGTGGCGCTGCTGCTAATGCCGTGAGGGATTATCAGCGGAAGTTCCAAGAGATGAATGTAATTTTATCCTGAAAAATAGAAGAAAATGTTTCTTTTTTTCGGTCAATAGAATTTCCAACTGATGTAGGAATGTTTCTTGTTCTGCCTTCTAGGAAGAACGAAAAACTCTTGACCGTGAACTTGCGCGTGCAAAGGTTACAGCAAACAGAGTTGCGACGGTTGTTGCAAATGAATGGAAGGATGGTAATGATAAAGTGATGCCTGTGAAGCAGTGGCTTGAAGAAAGAAGGTTTCTTCAGGTTTACTTTTGATATGATTGTCCTTACTCCAACTGTTTTGTTATGTAGCAGTGACAAAGGCACAACCTTACAGTGTCAACTCTCTTTTTTTTTGGCAGGGAGAAATGCAGCAACTCCGTGATAAGCTTGCCATATCAGATCGAGCTGCTAAATCTGAAGCACAACTGAAAGTATACATCTTATTTATGTGTTGCTCATCTTCTAACATTTGATCTTTGTATAACTTTATCTTTGTCCAATTTCCAGGAGAAGTTTCAACTACGACTTAAAGTGCTTGAAGAGACATTGAGAGGCACCTCAAGCAGCAGTGTAAGGAACACACCTGAGGGAAGAAGCATGAGCAATGGACCCTCTCGCAGGCAATCACTTGGTGGAGCAGATAATCTACAAAAGTTCGGATCAAATGGCTTTTTGCCAAAGAAATCTCCATCTTCTCAGATGAAGAATTCATTTACTTCTAATTCCACCTCAGTATTGAAGAACGCTAAAGGAACATCTAGGTCCTTTGATGGAGGCACAAGATCATTGGACAGAGGCAAGGCACTCCTAAACGGACCTGGGAAGTATTCATTCAACAAGGCTTGTGATGAAGCCAAAGAATCAGAGTCACCTAATGCATGGAAAGAAGATTCAGAGGAGAAGCCACCAAGCGAAGTCCCTCCACCAACAACAACTGAAGACATTGTCCCAGGGGTTTTGTACGATTTGCTTCAGAAGGAAGTAGTCGCATTGAGAAAATCTTCACATGAGAAGGATCAGAGCCTCAAAGATAAGGATGATGCCATAGAGGTGATCTCTGAATTTGCCATATAACATGTTGCTAAAAAAAAAGACGTGCTTGTAATGGAAGTTTTGGGTTTTATTTTTTTGTAGATGTTAGCCAGAAAGGTTGAAACTTTAACAAAAGCAATGGAGGTTGAAGCAAAGAAGATGAGAAGGGAAGTAGCTGCAATGGAGAAAGAGGTTGCTGCTATGCGTGTAGATAAAGATCATGATAACAGAGCTAAAAGGGCTTCAAACACCAAGAACTCATCCAACACAGCCCAGATTCTTGCTGGAAGGTATCGTATCTACACCAATGTTTATACTCTCTACAATTAGTTGCACTTTTTACTTGATCCGTTATCAATGTATAAACTAAACTTGATCTTCTTCTACAGAGCTGCTGGACGAAGTGGGTTAACTAGGAGCACACAATGAGAATGGTTCTCGTGGACGTATCAAAGTTTTAAATAAGAAACCCGTTAAAATGCTGGTGTGCTTTCACTTGCTTTCATTACATCCTCTTGTGATTTTATTGTATTACCTTAGAACTCATCAGGATGATATGGAAAAGAGAGAGATGAGTATGCTTTCTTACTTAGATCGGCTTAGACTACTTAGAGGGAGAGATGTTTGACATTTTGGGATAACGTTTTATATCTTACGGAAGTAGTTTATCAGGCCTGTTTAGGTTTTAGCTTTGCACTTGGACACTTCTTTGATTTCTTCTTCATTCTACTTGAGGTGTTGTGTGAAGGTTTTGGTTTTTGATGATATAAAAAATTCTTGTTTTTCTGATTTTTTAATTATAAAAACCCATGCTAGATGCTTCCAATGAACATGGTCTGTAGCGATGATGATAAACAGAACCCATCTATATATATAAAAGAATGTTCATTCCCTCCTGCCTCTGCCACGTTGGAAAATACTCATCCAGCCACTTGACACGTGTTTTATTAAAATGGGCCTCGAGTGTAATTTTGTTTGGGCCTAACTTTAAACAATAGTGGCCCGTGTTTTAAGTGTGACGTCTCTCCCAAAATAGGGTTTTCAGTGTGTCGTCTCTCCCTTCTACACACAGATAAGCCGCCATAGACACACCAATCCTCTCCTCTCTTCAACGTCGATTCCTTTTCCTGCACAGATGTTACTGATTGTTTTGAGAATTAAACACACCTCCACGATCTCTAATCAATTCTCTCTAATCTGTTCATAGTCGGTGGAGATGTGCATATATATAGAGGTGATTTCTACCCATTCTCAGCATCATTCCTTCTTTTCTCACTAATCTAAAAAGTTTTCGTTTTAATGGCTATGTCTAGGGTTTTTTTCTCAGACCTGAAATCTGGGCGTTGCTCCTCCACCGTCGAGGTCCGCCTCCTCCGGTTCTGGGAGGCCCGGAATCCACGCCGTGGAGGCGAGTTGATGTGGTTAGATTTGTTGATGGTGGATGTTAATGTTAGTGTTCTGTCCTAAATACATTCAAACATCATTCCCCCAGCATATGTTATAAAATCTGATGCTTTTTTAAAATTATTTTTCAGGCCACCATGATGCACGCTTCCATCAATGCCAGTCATGTTGGAGTTTTCCGGGCAAAGCTTACCGCCGGCAACATGTACTGCCTCTCTGATTTTGATGTCAGTAGATGTGGTCCGAATTTCCGGTTGACTGATTCTCCCTTGATGATTCGGTTTGCTAAGACCACCGGTTTTGATGAGTTGACCGACCCGCCCGACCCGGTTTCCCCTTTACCTAAAGAGGGATTCAGGTTTCGTGATCAGTCAGAGCTCATCGGTTTGGCCAATACCGGTACTCAGCTTCCAGGTAAATAGCCTTTTTTCCATCTCTCATTGCCGGCCACTGTATTAACTCTCTTATTCTGGCAGACATTGTCGGTGAGTTAATGGCTGTGAAGAGCACCGTCAGTGATCCTCCAGAGGAAAAGAATCGGGTTATGGCCACCATCAAATTGGAAAGGTGTTTTTTTAATTTATATTGATTTAGTTATTAACCCTGGCTGATGAATCTGTATAGCAACGTATTCCAGATTTATATCTGTAATTGCTTAATTTAATTTTTGACTTTTTCTTTTAGCAAGAAAAGTAATTTTTTTCCATGCCTATTCCAGTAATGAGTCTGTGACGTTGAGTTTCTTTGATGCCGAAGCTGTAGCTTTCCACCACCGGCTTGACAAAATGCGTATAGATCCTAAAGTAATTGTTGCTACATCTATCAATCCCAAAATGGTCGGAGGTAATGTTGAGAGATTATATAGATTTTACTTTGAATTATTAAAGAAGATTATATAGATTTTACTTTGAATTATTAAAGAAGATTATATAGATTTTACTTTGAATTATTAAAGAAGATTATATAGATTTTACTTTGAATTATTAGGATATCCTTGACTATTATATGTGAATTTTTAAATGATCAGTAAAGCAATGTTGAGAGATTAAATAGATTTTACTTTGAATTATATAAAGTAGTTTATCAGTCAGTGTGTTTGAGAGATTATATATATTTTACTTTGAATTATTAAAGAAGATTATCAGTCGGTGTATTTTATCTTCCTGGTGTTTGAATGCTTTTTCTGTCCTTGGCTGTTATATGTGAATTTAAAAATGATCAGACAGGCACTGTTGAGAGATTAAATAGATTTTAATTTGAATTATTAAAGAAGATTATCAGTCAGTGTATTTGAGAGATTGTATAGACTTTACTTTGAATTATTAAAGAAGATTAACAGTCGGTGTATTTTATCTTCCTGGTGTTTGAATGCTTTTTCATTATCTTCTACAAGTAAGTAGCATGGTGATTGTATATGCATTCATTCATATACAGTATACTAATGTGACCAAGACATTGATAAAATACACAGATTAGGCTGACCTTTTGAAACTTGGTTTTTGGTTCTAGGCTGAAGAAGGTGTGAACCCTGAGGATACAACTTCACGGCCAATCATCAGACCTTCACTATTACACTGCATTCTCAATGAACATGATCGTGCATCACTCTCTTATTTTGTAGATAATGTGAGTATTGGCTGTTTCGTTATGTCACTTTCGTGACTATACATTAATATATGATATTGGACGATCAGGGAGGGAACGAGAAGAATGGAGACGCCACGGTTCTTGCTAAGGTTGAAACTGGGGTTAGCAGTCAGCAGGCAGCACCAGACGCGGGAGCATCCCTACATGGTGAAGAACCAGAGAGCCCTTCAGCGAATGCAGCTTCCAAGATGGTCAAGGGGCACATCTCGATTATTGTTTTGGCATCAGAGTGTGTAACACAAAGTAACACAAAGTATTAATGCTGACAAACATCAATTATGTAAATATTCTCAACACACATTTTCAATATATTAAACTAACATTGCATACGCTGAAAAAAATAGAAATATAAAAACTAACACTGCATACAATTCATGTATAGTGATTTGTGTGTTTAGAAGTTACGAATGCATTGAATATGCTCTGTAACAGATCTGGAGTCAATCTACAAGTCCTGCGCCTGCAGTAGTTCATAAAATAATACCAATTTTTAAAGAAAAACTATAGCGATCTATTGTGTCGTATAAAGAGAAAGACAGAACTTTTAACACAATCAAATTGCTAATGACTTGGTATTTTAAAAGGACAATAGTTACAAATAAGTATAATGGGCCGCCGAAAGATGGCAAATCTTATGCAAACATAATAATTATTAATTTTCCGCCAAAAAAAAAAACATAATTATTCGGACAGAAAAAAACGTCATTATATAAATTAAAATACATGTAAACTAATCGGACTCTTTTGAAAATATACCACCAATCAGCTACAGATTATATATAAGAAAGTCAATAAGTGACACAAAAATTACAACAAAAAATCATAGTCAATCTTTATAAATAAAAAGCTTGGGATATTATAAGTACACTATTTAAAAAAAAAAAATAACGGGTCTCTTCAATAATCGTCATTTGAATTGATCTTTTAAATAATCCACCTTAAAAGGAATCGAAGTCACACACCAATGTTTCTTGCATTCTGTATTATGTATTCTGTATCCAACATATATGCCACATGTTTTAACAATAAATCACAGGCTGCGGAATTTGAACCGAACCGAACCGAATTTTTGGTTTTCGGTTTTGAGTTCGGTTTGGTTTGACAGAGTTTCAAAAATTGATTCGGTTATCGGTTCGGTTCGATTTCTGAATATTTTTTTAATTTTTTTTGTTAAAATATCTGAGAAAACCGAAAATAACCAAAATTATCCGAAAATATCTGAAAATTCGAACTGAATTTAACCGAAAAAAATAATCAAAATAACTAAAACTAAACAAAAAAAAATCCAATTTTTTCTTAAAATAGTATACCAAAATTAACCGAAAATCCAAATAATCGGTTATTTTCAGAAATAATACCGAAAACCAAAAATAACCGATAACCGAACTGAACCAAAATTTAATTCCGTTAACTTCAGAAATTATTTTTAAAATTTTGGTTAATCGAAAACCGACAGTTCGGTTTGGTTCGGTTTCGGAAAACCAAACTCGCAGGCCTAATAAATCATATGTGGATTGATTGCTTTATTTGATGTTCCAAAACCAAATGAGTTGCCATATGTGGATTGATTGCTATATTTGAAGTACAAATAAAAAAAAATAGATATAAAAATACTCACAAAAATCAGTCGTAGTTAACCACCAAACCTAATTGTAATTAATAATTCTTTTAAATAGTGTAAATCATTAGTTTTAAGAAAAAATGTATATACAGAAAAAAAAAAGTTCATGAGACATATTAAATATAAATATGAGAAAAAATAACTTCACTCTACTTATTTCAATTGACTGTCATTTTAAGGAAATTTATTTGACTTATTGTTATAGGTAAATTAGAATAAAAGCTGAATGAAAGTAAATAGTTGTATCATTAAAATATTATAATATTTGGACAAGTATATAATTTAAAAATGAATAATAAAATTTTTGTAACTTATTTTTAAAAAATGTACTATTAATTTATTTAGTCGCGCGCCCGTAGGGCGGGTTTACCCTAGTATACCATAAACATAAATTAGAAAGATATAAAGATTAGATGGAGTATGCGTAGTCCACCAAAAGAATTTTTTTCTGATATTTCCGCTGATCGAGTTCCGATTGGTCTTGGGAGAAATTTAGTACTATCAAGTAAAGTAGCTCAAAAACATATCATTATTATCTGATCAGAGATTAAAAACATATCATTCTTTTTTCAGCGGCTCTCCACCGGAAATCCCCTATTTCCTTTTTTAATCTCTCCCTCGCCTTGAGTGGATTCTCCTACCGGCTTCATTGCTACGGTCTTTGTTATTTTCACCATATCAGAACTTTCCTTTTTGTTTTTTACATTTACTCATTTCTTTCCTTTTTTTACACTAATTTACCCTGTCTTGCTCACCAAGACTCCCTTCTCTTTTAATCCTTGCCTTTTCTGACTGCTTTTAGCGTAAGATTTCCATTTACAATGATATACTTGCTCTTTCCTGTTGATTCTTCCGCAATCATAGGGCCTTATACGTTCCCGCTAGCATTTACTCCCAGCCATCCTCCTCCGTCCTCTGTGTCTGTCCTGCAGTTTTCTCACCTCACCTCGTCAGACATGGCGGATTTTTTACATAAGAGTTTACGTGCAATGAAGATCGATGAAGAAGAGCCCCTAACTCTACCAGACAGCCCACGTTTCCGCGTCTACGATGACAACTCCCTGAGTATTTTGGGACGTCTGCTTAACCCTGACTGCCAGTCCATGGAGAGAATGATTGACTACATGCCAACTGCGTGGCGCGTCACTGGAAGAGTTAGGGGAATCGCTCTTTCCAAGGACCGCTTTCAGTTTGTGTTTCAGAGGGAAGAAGACATTGAGATGGTGTTAAAAGATCGACCTTGGTCGTACAATCACTGGGGTTTGATGCTGGAGCGTTGGACCGACTCTCCTCCGGAGAATTTTCTCCAATCAATGAACGTGTGGATCCGTATGCGCAACATTCCTGCGGTCTTTTTCAAGCTCGAGTCTATGCACAGGCTTGCCTCGGAGGTTGGAGAGGTGATATTGATAGCGTATGATCCTAAGGTGTCACATACAAAGGACTATGTCAGAGCTCTGATTAATTTCAATACTGATAATCCAGCCAAAGCTACCAGAAGACTTAATCTCCCAAAGGATGGGGGCTTTGTGGTGATTGAGTTTGAGTATGAGAAAATACATAAGAGATGCTTTCATTGCTTGAGATTGACGCATGAACAGGCACGCTGTCCTTTGTTGCGAAAGGATCGTCGTCCCAATAGAGTGTTACCCACGGTTCGTACAGAACCACGTACCAGCACTCAACCAGCTAAGCCTACGGGCGTGCTTGTCCCTGCCCTTCCAAGTGGCCCTCCTGGGTTCCCACCTCTGTTTCCTGAGTTATCAGATCAAGACAGACGTAGTGCTATGATGTACGTTGCTCATGCTGATGAGACAGAACGCAATGCAAGGATACAACGTGTGCGTGAAGCTATCACTGACTCTGCTACTTCCCCCCCTGTAATCCTCACAAAGGTGACTCCGGACCTTGATAAAGGCAAAGGACATGTGTTTGAATACCCAGACATCCATTCCAGACTCCAATGGCCTCTACCAAAAAATACATCCTCATTATCGGCACCTGTGGCTCCATGGGATAGTGAGGGTGAAGCTGAGTCGTCTAATGCCTCACTTCCTGTGGTTTTGTCTTCTCTTGATGTCACTACGGGTTTTCAGTTAGGTACATCCTTTAAGGACCCTACTGCCGGTGATATGAGAGGAGGTAAGAAACCAAGGCGTCGTCCTCCTTCTTGGAAGAGGAAAACGCAAGCAAGGACCTCTGCTCCTGCAAGCGTATCGGCTCAGACTCAGGAGAGCAACAGAGAGTATGGTACTAAGAGGAAATCAGACTTATCCTTACCTTCCATTCCAGAGAGATCAACCAAAAAACAAGAACTTACGGTGGCTTCCGATTTGAAGCCGCTGCCATCCCAATGAGTCTACTGAGCTGGAACTGTCGAGGGGCGGGAAACACCGAGGCAGTTCGACGTTTGAAAGAAATACGGAGAGATTTTTATCCGGATTTCTTGTTTCTCATGGAGACTAAACAAAAGGACAGTTACATGATTGGTTTACAAAAAACTCTTGGTTACGATAGAATGATCACTGTTGCGCCAGAAGGTTTGAGTGGAGGCTTAGCAGTGATGTGGAAGGATTGTTACAAGGTGGAGATTTTGTTCTCAGATAAAAGAATTATTGATTTGAGTGTGGAGATGGGATCTTTGTTCTTTTTCTTGTCTTGCGTCTATGGTGATCCAGTGCGTGAAAGGAGGCAAGCAGTATGGGAAAAGATTACAGATATTGGGTTGACTAGAGATCGTGCGTGGATGCTGATCGGTGATTTCAACGAGTTATTGGATAATTCGGAGACACTTGGTGGAGCCAATCGCAATGACTCTACTTTTTGGGATTTCAGAAACTTGGTCGAAAATTGCAAGATCAAGGAAGTGCGCTCAACAGGGAACTCTCTCTCGTGGGCTGGTTGGAGAGAGAATGGTTGGGTCCAGTGTAAGTTGGATCGTGGTTTTGGAAATGACGAGTGGTTCCATTTGTTCCCGAGGTCCAACTTGGATTATATGGATATGTGGCCATCTGATCACAGACCGTTGTTGTTAAAATTTGTATTGGAACCTTATGATCGTGGGAAAGGAAGGTTCTTTTTTGATAAGAGAATGATTGGGAAAGATGGTTTCGAAGATGCTGTTCGTCGTGGATGGGATGGTAACGACGATGTTAATATGTCGATTATGGACAGGCTGGTGGAATGCAGGAAAGAAATGGCTCGTTGGAAGAAGATTTCTCATTTCAACTCTAAAACTCGTATTCA